TATAATTGAAATCTTCCTGTTTGTTTTTTTGTTTTATATTTTTAATGGTCAAATAAAGGTATTACTTTTCCTGCATTTGTACTGTAACTAACCATTATCACTTTATTTTGGGGCCATGTATAAATGCTTGTCATGTAGTCTCACTCTTATGTCTAAAGAAGTGGTCTTGATCCACAAAAGCTCACATTAAAATACAGTCATTAGTCTTTAAGGTGCAACAACATCTTTATTTCTTTCTGCTTTGTTTCTTGTCTGATATACTTTTTCACAGTTACACACATCACTATCCACGTTTTTGCCCCTTAAATATTACAAAATCTGAAAGCTCATACAATTCCACAATCTAGTAGGAGAAAGCACTTTGTTTCTATCCTGAGGTTTATTACCCATGTCTTTGATGGGGGGGGGAGAGGATCTCCACCCAGCTGCAAGCAAATGCGATTCATTGGCTTTGTGTGTGTTCAGAAGAAATTCCCCAGAGATGAGTCACTTGGTTTTAAAGGGTGTCCAGGGAGATGTCAAGCAGACATTGCGTGTAAATCAATGACACACCTTGTGTTAGAGAACACACACCGTAGCCTGCAGGTTTGTTCCCTCTAAGACGTAACACAATAGAAACGCTGGTTGATGGACATTCCCAGAGAGGCTCCCATGAATGAACTCTCTCTCTCTCTTGGAACAAATAGCAGGGAAAGAGTTTCTATTTATTCTTACTGAGTGAAAACAATGGAGATTGGGGAAGGGTGTTTTTAATTATTATTTTCCTGAAACTCTTAATTGAGCTTAGCAGAAAGGAAATGTAGGTAACCTAACTGCTGTACTAACAGGATATGTCATCCATTTCTCCAGAGCAGGGCAGCTAGATATGTTATATACCACATTTTGTACATAGTGAAAAGCATTTTCTCACATAGCACTACAAACAAAATACACGATGGGCCTCATAAGAGGAGTTTAGCACATAATACTGTATCAGTACTACATAGGCAAGTCTGAATGAACCTGCTTGAAATTTTGAATCTGGGTCCTCCACCCTTTCCAACTCTTCCTTTTGCACAACTGGGAGGACTTCAGCTGAAAGGTGATTTTATTTTCAAAGAATCCAGAATTTGTTTTTAAAAATGAAGCAAGAATTCTGGTTTAAAAGATGCTCTAGTAAATTTAATAAACTAGCTACCATGGTTTGAAGCTGGTTTATTCAGCAAATAGCTTCAATGTTATGCGTAAAACAAACCATTTACTCTAAACCATCAACACACACCACTATTTTTAAGGCTTCTTTAAAGAAGATTCTTTTATCGATTGCTTTGTCTATTGTAACCCTAATTTTGCTTCCTGAATGTTGGAACTTATGGTGCAACTCAGATTCAGATAATTAATTCCATCTAGTGGTTGTTTTAGGCCCTGAACACACCTATCTTCCTGGATGAATTTCAAAAACATCTTTCGAAAAGGCACTATTTTAAATCCAAGTGAAACCACTCAGGCTTTAAGGCACATATAAATATTACTACAGAATAAAAGTAAGATAAATAAATCAACACACCCTCATTATCCTTCCCACCCATTGTTCTATTTGAGTGTGTCTCAAGATTTATGATTAATTTCCTCCTGTTTCTCAATGCCACAACACCTATTAAACCTTGCACAAACCTGGCAGTAATACTAACGTTTAGAAGCTTTAATGTACCATAGACATAACTGGCACTTTATAGCATAAGGTGGGATATTCCGTCAACAAACACCTGTAAAGTAACATGAGTGTCTAGTACTTCTGCATAAAAAGTTAAAATAGGGACGCGCCCATAATTCATTGAACACCGACAGGAATAGTATGGCTTCTCTAAGCTGTGGGTTACCAGAGACAGTGTGTGTGTGCACATTTACTATGGATCGCTAAGGATGTAACAATCTTTTCATCCCTTAGCATTTTCATGGGTTATGGAACACTAGTCTTGTAGAACTGTAAACGAACTCTCACTTGTTGTGTTCTCAAGGAAAGCTAAAGATAACAAACTAGGCTACCTTTTACCTTTCAATTTAACTCCCAAGTGGCTAACAATTACTAGCTGCCATTAATATTAAAATAGAAAGGCAAGGTAGAAATGCAATCCCCTCTCATTTGGTTAGATTCCATAATATTAAAAACAATTAGTCCAGAGGGGAGAAGAGAAGGCTGGAAAAGAATAAATAATTGATACCCTGGGAGCAGATGGCTCTTCTTGTATTAGAGGGAGTGAAACCAAATAGAACCTGTGTTTGAAAACTGAGGATTAAACAGGTACCCACAGATCAAATAAAGGGAAATAATGGGAATGAATTGTTTACACCTCGTCCCTACAACAAATGTAGGGATGAGGTTTAAGCAATTCATTCATCATACCTTCTCTTAATGACCTCAGCTATAATCAGAAATCCTTACAGAAATACTAGAGACAATGAAGACAGGCCATCTTCTTGCAACCCCTGTCTATTAACGCCTCTCACACATCTTTGAGCATGTTACTCTTGCTACTAAGGTATGCAAGGCAGAACACTTGCACCCCTTTGACAACTGCTCTGTACATAGCGGCTGCACTGGCCTATGGTTTTACCCCAAAATCACAGCTAACATGAATCTATAGCAGCCTAAATAAACATACTTAACACCATACGAGTCGAATATCATCATATTAATTTCAAAATAATTTCCCCATAGTTAAAGACTCAGATATTTTATTGTTTCTCTCTGCCAGCTGGAGCAACAAAGGACAACACAACCTGTCCTGCTATCTTCATGGACAACAACATTCTGTTTGTTTGAACATAGTAGGGTGAGTGCCTAACTTCCAAAATAAGTGACTGTATTGGTGTCCAAAAGAGTACTCTTTGAAGTTAAACAATAACAAAATGTCCACAGTACTCTAAAACCTAAAAAATAAATCGTGGAATGAGCTTTAATAGCCTAGGGTACAATATTTTGTCTAATTATAGATTTAATTGTTCCTGCTTTGAAAACTGCTGGCATATGAGTTCACATCCTGCCCTTTTCTCCTTAGGTCAACCTCCCAGTATTTTATAGCCTAAGAACTGTAGGAAATATAGCTCTGTTGAGGGATCTCAAATAAAACAAAATTCTCCACACCCTCACAAAACTAGAGTTACCAGCCCAGTTCCTGAAAAGAATTTGCAGCTTTAAACTATTTAAAATAAGTATGGATTTGCAGTACAGATATATCAGAAGTAGCAACCACAAGACAAGAGAAAAGAAATGATAAATGCATTATTCCAGAACACTCAGTATTACTTATATGAAATTCTGTTTTTCCTATGTTGGTTGGTGTTGGTTGGTCTGAGACTGAAAGAAGCACATAACTCTACAGAAAAGGGGTCTGTAAAAGTCTAATGAAATATGAGCGTCTACTATTTGTATGAGTTCTCTTCTTGTCAGGAAAGTCAGAAGCTAACACTTCATTTCATAATAAGAGACTTGCAGGCACATACTGAGGAATGATTTATTTTCCCTAGAGCTTGGGAAAGTTCCTTGTTTGGACTATAACTATCCCTGAATTTCCCTACAAAGTAGGTAGAGGCTGTGGTGACTGGTGAATTCTTGGCATTATCATTCAAAAAATGAACTTTATAAAATTCTGCAGCCACTCATCTCGTAATAAATTGTGGCCAGTACATGCCTCCAAAGAAACACTAGAATTACGTTAAGACAACAGCTCTCACCCATCATTTATCTCATATCCTACTCCTAGAATTCGAAAATATATTGCTTCTAGTTACAGTGGTGCCTCGCATAGCGAGGTTAATTCGTTCTAAAAAAAACATCGCTATGGGAAAACATCGTTAAGTGAAACGAGTTTTCCCATAGAGATGCATTGAAAACCGGATAATCCGTTCTAATAGGAACGGATTATCCGGTTTTCTCCCTCCCCCCGCGGCTTGGATCTGACCCGCGGCGGCTACCTCAGCCATGGCTGGACTCCATAGAG